GGAGATTTCCCGTAATTCTCCTCAAAGTTTTTGAAAACACAAAAAATGTAAAAATCGTAATTTATAGCTTTGAACATAACCTGTCAGAAAGTACAACGTATTGAAACAAGAATGAATGGTACTTCTAGCGCCATCTGTTGAGAACCGCGCTAGGCACTCTCCTTCGAGATCGAAGACTGGCCCCGAAGGTTCTAGACTGAGGTCTGCCACTATGTGGTGTACCGGAACCTTCTCGAATTAACGAGTACCTGCGATGTGGAATATATAAGCCGATGGCCGGGAGATGGAAGCAGAGTTGAGTGAATGGCGCGACATAATAATTCGTAAATAAGTAGTCAGACATAAATAGTGGTATACATAAATGTTCTATCTAGTTAAAGTTAGTTGGGTTGTGTTTGTGCATTTCTTTTTGTGGAATCGAGTGTTTTAATCCACACCCAAAAGAACCCAGAAAAACACTACAATATAAATAACCCGTCAGGCACAGCTAATAGATATACTTCATTGGCAGCATAGTCGGTAATGATTTTCCCACACAGCAAATATCACTGATTTTATACAAATGCAGACCAATACACACAATCATCTAGATGCGATCTTGCTATTCAACCAACTTTCTTCTCAGAGATGAAAACTATAGACTACTCGGCTTCAAAAAACATATGAAACTAACAATGTGTGTAGTTGAGCAATTTCTCCGTAGCTGGACGCTCACAACGATCCAAGTGAGCAAACGTGGAATGATGTTTGCACGCTAAAAACTATCTAGTCTGCAAGATGACATTTTATAGGTTTTTTTGACATTTTATAGGTTTTTTCGTCAGAGTGGTTTTTGTACCTAAGCCAGGGAAAACAAGAAAGGGAGACGCAAAATCACTAAGACATATAAGTCTGATGTCTGATCTGAAACGGGATAATTCTCTGGTAACCAGCCCCCTGCATTCGGACCATTGACTATACAGCAGGCAAATCGACAGAAACGGCGCTACATCAGCTGGTATAGACAGCAGAATATGCGCTAGAAGCCAAGGAAGTGCACTTTCCTAGACCACAGGGCGCTTTTGATAATACGTCCCTGGACTCAATCTCCACAGCAACGAGGAGAATTGGATAGACTGCATGCTAAGAGGAAGATTGATATATACCACTCAAGTAACCCGAGGGTATCCATAGGGGGGTGTACTGCCCCATTACTGTGGAACCTGGTAGTAAATGAGTTAATGAGGGCCTATCCATGTGGAAAGTAAGATCTCATATAAAGGCTATGAGAATCAATATCCTGTGAAAAAGAATGTAACAAGTATGTAGATATAATACGCAATGTTTGATCTTGCAACTTTCCTTCACCAAGAGCAGCTTGGTTAAAAGCTTCTTGGCAGTGCAAATATTGATATGCATTAAATTGTTCTGGCTTTTGATTTTTACCATCTGTTTTATCAACCTAATATATCTTATAATTTCAATTCAACGTATTACCTCATAATATCAAGGTGACACGGAACAGTAGAAATCTAGAAATAATTCCAACGATCAAAATGATATTTCAGCCTTTCTGAAGGATAAATGAAATCATGAAAATCAAGGAGACCATAAAAGCGTCCTACATTTATTGTAGGAATGACTGTCAAACAAGACAGCCCTACATGTCTTAGATGAGTCCGAGGCGCTGAATCGCAAAAGACATCAACTCTTCGTGAAACCAAAACTTGAACCGAGGGAGTTTGGAACATTACCGGCAGAAAAACTATACCAACTGGTTCAGCACACTAGACTGCTGGATTGGGTACTGTAAACTCGAGGAGCAAGGCACGATAAGCCCTAGAGGCTGCAGTGACATCGGGTACTTTTGTCGGACGGCACCCGGAAAGGGAAAAAAGCCCCTACATAAAAAAGTATTACGGGCTTTTTAGTTAAAATACCTGATTTTACACATTTTTTTTTTGAGAAAAATTAGTTTGAATATAAGAAAAAATCCGTATAATGAATCTATTTGTGCCATATGCAGAATAATTCTTGAGGCACTTTTTTAAATATAAGCATGCTTGATCTTGGAAATACTCGATAAATGTATGTTACGACCTCCTCGAGTATATATTATATATATATATAATATATCTCTCTCTCTCTATATATATATATATAGAGAGAGAGAGAGAGAGAAGATGATCATGCGGAGAAAGGTATATAACAAAAAGTAGGAAAATAATGGGCAAAACCAGCAAAAAGGAGGCCCGAAATGAATGCACATATAAAACTACAAAAGTAGATACACATGCCCACGCATCCGGATACGGGAGTAGCCTGAGGAAACGAAGATGGAGAGGAAAAAAAATTTCTCTTTGTAGATACCTTGGGCTTGAAGTACCACAGCAAGTGGCTATAACGGCCGCGTGGTTGTGGTTACATGTCTCCTTGAAAATTCGAGGTCTTCTAGCCATTTTAAACCACAATGTGTAGGTTGGCTCTTGTTGTGGACTTCGTGTGGCGGTTTTTTTCCCTCTCCATCTTCGTTTCCTCATGTAACACCCGTATCCGGATGCGTGGGCATGTGTATCTACTTTTGTAGTTTCATATGTGCGTTCATTTCGGGCCTGATGAAGCCAACCAGCAGAAATACGTATCGCTCGGGTTACCTATCCTATTTTCTGCTCGAATCCTCCTTTTTGCGGGTTTTGCCCATTATTTTCCTACTTTTTATTATATATATATATATATATATGAGCAGTAGTCATTGCCAAAGCCAACGACCAGTTGGGTACAAAATACAATTAATTGTTAATTGGAAAGTTGGCAAATCTTTTAGGCTTAAGTTGACTCTTTTGACGATAAAATCAAGCTTCCGGCATTCTCTATGGAGCCTTCATCAGGATCCTGAAAACACAATTGTGATGCTAGCAAAGAAAACAGGACAGATTTAAATTGTGAGACAACTTACTCGTCGGTGAGGTTGCAGCCATAAGGTGTTTCAAAACGAACGTAGAGAAGATCGAACTTATAATCAGTATAAAAACAAAAGGACGGGGCTTGTTGAAAAACGACAGATACCTTCGTTAAATGTTAAAAATATCAATCCACCCGAACAAGTTAAAAATATTACACGTGAGACGACATTTTGTTGAAACAATCGGAATGCAGTCTCAAACCTTATACTTCCACTACACGTGGAGAGGCGGACGGCACGGAAAGATAAAGCGTCGACGTCGAAGTGATTGACGCGACGGACCGTGGAACTGTAAACCTCCCTGTCCAGCTTTGGGTATGAAGTATACGAGGGGCGCTCGGTAAACCTCCACCCAAAATTACTAAAATGCTGAATTAACTTGTTTTGGAAAAAAAGTGTGTAGTTCATATGAGTGTATGAATGTGTGATATTGATACAACCTTGAAAAGATGGGTTATGTGAGTTTATATTAAAAATGTGAGTGAGAAAATGTATTCTAATTTTGTGAAGATGTTGGTTCAATTTGGATATGTAGCCGTTCTAGCTTTTCGCAATTCAACAGGTAGGAATAAATGACACTGAGCTGCTTAAAATCAGCCTTTTTATTCGTGTAATGATCTGGCATGAAAATATGGGACATTTCTAAATTAAACGTTTTGAGAGTCTTTTTTCTTTATCAAGAACCTCAATACTGCCATAACTCATAGAGTGACCTGTGTTGTTAATATGCGATGCCAAAGCACATCTCTCTGGATGTAATCTGGCGTCACTTTTGTGTGAAGTTATCCTGCCTTTCAGCGACCTAGAAGTTTGGCCTATATAAACTAAATTACAGTTGTTGCAATTAATACGATAGACAGTATTGGTTGAATCAAGCAACTGAACTTTATCCTTCATTTTGGACAACAAACTGTTGACTGTGAGCACTGATTTACAAGCAAAACGACAATTAAAGGAATTATACAGCCTGATCAATTTTGGTGTTAGTTCTTTGATGTATGGCAAAACAACATAATTAACTCTGCAAATAGGAGCAACCACTGTAGTGCTGTTGTTCTCATTAGTTGAAGAATTAATGGGTATCTGGTTGGACTGACCAGTGTTGTCGTTTTCACTATTGTTATTAGTCATTGGCAAAATATTCGGAGGAGAGCTGAACAAGATTCTGATAACCAAATACTTACGATAACCATTGTTGATAAATAAGACTGAAAGCTTCCTTAAATTGGAAATGTGGAAAGTACTGTCAGAGATTTTTATAACCCTGTTCTTCATTTGTTTCACCAGGTTTATTTCTATTTTAAGTTCATGGTAAGACCTGAAGTTCAGGAACCTTCCGGAAGAAATTGGTTTCCTGTACCAGTCTACCAGTAATATAGTCATTGGTACGAATCAATCTTGAATCCAATAAAGGGAACAGATTGATTGTCATCTTCTTTTTCGATGGTGAACTGGATGTAGGGATCATAACTGTTAAAAACCTCAACAATATCATCAACCCTATCATAAGGAAGACAAACGATTATATCGTCCACATACTCTTTTATGAAAATTAGATTGTATGGCAATACTTGAATAACAACATCAAGCAGGTCATCCATTACATATTCTGCCAAAATTGGAGATAAAACAGAGCCCATGGGGCAGCCATGTGTTTGTGAAAACACTTTGTTATTAAAGGTAAAATAGTTGTTCTGGAAAAGGTACTCTACGATATTGATGAAGGAATCCAGAGTTAGGTTGCTGTGTTGGCAAATTAGATCCCAATATTTGTTGATGGATCTGGTGCAAGCTTCTAAATACACATTGCTGAACAATGACACTACATCTAGACTCGCAATAACATGATCAGGGGGTATTTGAAACCTATCTTTTGATGTTTGTCAACAATTTCCTATCCTAAAATATTCTGCACGGCTTTCCCTATAATCATGTATATTACTCGGGTATTTCGAACTTTCGCCTAAAAAGACAACTGCAGTAAATTACATCTTAATAAATGGAACACTTTAGGTTTTATTCTATAATTTAAAGGCAAAAGCAATTTTGAGGAAAAATGTCATACCTTGAACTGTTGTACCAGAGAAGTACCTGCAGCTCTTTTCAATATAGCAGAATGACTCTCGAGACAAGCATTCTCTTCAAGGAAGGCCTCCCAGCTGTCTGGATCTTCATTGGTTGGTTCTGCTGATAACGGTTCGTCTGCCAAGTATTGTCCTAGTTGTTCCATTACGAAGCCGCCACCGTCTTTGCCACCAACTCTGTCGAAATTTTGGAGAAACTCTGTTATGTACGCTACGTCTTGCTGTGTCATCCTACAAGTAGAAAATAATGATCATCTCCGTCGAAATAGTATCTAGAAAGGCGCTATTAGAATCTATTTTGAGTATACAAAGACGGCGTCAGGAGGATAAAGCCAAAGATGACATATTTCGTATTATCACAAGTTTGGCTCAACTCTCACAATCTATATACATCAGTAGGAATTTAGCAATTAAGAAAGCCTCGGTCCTGCATCATGTCTTTAGAATATACTAACCTATTAAATGTTATGCCTAACCATTGCTTGGTATCTACTGCTGATGGTCTACAGTGCATTATCAAGACACCTTGATTTTCTGCGATAGCACATACAAAATAGTAGACGCAATATATAGGTATATATATATATACAGGGTGGCCCATCCATGTGTGGACGGAATATTACTCATAAACATTCTGGGAAAATCTATTTATGGGATGTTATACATGACATTTGAGGGAACATTTCGAAAGTATTGGCCAGTATACAGCGTGTCCCAATTTCGACCTACATATCAAAGTTGTGATTTTTCAAATGGAATGCCTCAAATTTTATTGCATATTTGGATAAACCAATTCAAAAGAATAAAATTGATATGACATACTATGGGGTTTTGGTAATTAGCTACTGAGATATAAGGTGTTTTGTCTAGAAAAAACCCCCACTTCGGCAACCCCTCAGACCGCCATTTTGAAATTTGGAGTGCTGAATTTTGTACCAAAACAAACTTACATACCTCAGCTTTTATCTTATTTGTTACTTTTTCGAATTTTAATTTTTGCTCATACAGGGTGGACAAAAACGCAAATTGTAGTTTCTCTCAATAATCTCAAATGCATTACCCTATATATTTGTGCAAGTTTGGATTCAATCTTTATAAGCTTTTTTTGATACTAGACACATAAGGGTTTTTACGGCTATTCTTTCGGTTATTAGCACGTCTTTTATGGAACGGCTTAATTCCCTAAAATATCGCATCATCCTAGGATACAAATAAAGTTTTGATTAGTTACAATCTGTCAAAATTAGCTTTGTGAGCATTATTATTAAAAGAGCCCAAAGAAATAGTTTCCTAGCATCTCGCATTTACAAGCAACGGTACCCTAATATGCGACATCCAAGGCCGGACACATTTTCACACTACGAGAACGTTTTGAATCAAGTGGAGCAGTGGAATATAGTAAAAAATGTATAAATAATCCAATTGTCACGAATGAGGCGAATCAGTTGGAGGTTCTATTAAAGTTGCAAGAAAATCCCCATTTAAGTGCACGGTAAATTGGAGCAGAAACTGATATATGCAGAACTTCTGTCCAAAGGATTATTCACAAGCATAGGTACCATCCATATCACCTATGCTTGCATCAAGGCCTTCGTCCTCAGGATTTCGCAGCTCGAATGGAGTATAGTAGAATAATGCTAAATAAAGTGAGTGAAGACACTACTTTCCTGGATAAGCTTCTTCTTAGCGATGAGGCAACTTTTAACAGGATAGGTGTGGTCAGCAGGCATAACATGCACAATTATGCAATAGAATACCCTTAGGGGTTAGGCAAATAGATTTCCAAAATAAATGGAGCTTGAATGTTTGGGGAGGAGTTATTGGCAGACAAGTTATCGGGCCTTTCTTTTTCGACAACACATTAACAGGTACAGAATACTTGGATTTCTTGATCGAGAATTTGCCTTTGCTATTGGAGGATGTCAACCTGCAAATTCGGATGCATATATTTCCAACCTGAGGGCGCACCTGTGCATCACCATAATCGTGTGCGTAACTATTTGGACACCTGGAGTAACAATCGTTGGATCGGTCGTGATGGGCCTATATCTTGACCTCCTAGATCACCAGATATGATACCGATGGACTTCTTTCTATGGGGCTACGTTAAGCAAGCTGTTTATAGATATCCACCATCTACCCCGGAAAATATGAAGGAAAGGATTAAGGTTGCTTTTCTGAACATAAGGGAACACATGGTGAGGGATGTGCAACGGTCATTTATCCAAAGACTACGGCTGTATATTCAACATGGTGGAGATATTTTCGAGCAGTTTTTGTATATTAGGTCTTGAGTAGTGATAGTTGTTTGTTTATGCTGTTGTTATAATTGTTTTTCGCTTGAAGCTGACTCATACTGTTCTGATTGTTATTAGTTTTTACGTCAAATCTGTACTCTTAGTGGCAATATGGGACTAGCCCACTGTTTGCCTTTTGTTTCCATGGATGATGTGATTTTTTCCCTTAATTTTGGTGTGTTGTTCTATTAAAAGCTTAATAATTCAAAATCTAGTGATTTTATCTGAATCAAACCTTATACAAAAAAAAGCTTATAGAAAATTGAATCCAAACTTGCACAAATATACAGGGTGATGCATATGAAATTTTTGAGAAAAAGCATAACCCCCCTTTTTGGGCCACCCTCTATGAGCAAAAATGAATATTCGAAAAAGTAAAAAATAAGGTAAAAACTGAGGTGTGTAAGTTTTTTTTAATACAAAATTCAGCACCCCAAATTTCAATATGGCGGATTGAGAGGTTCCTGAAGTGGACGGTTTTTCAGGACACAACACCTTACATCTCAGTAGCTAATTACCAAAACCCCATAATATGTTATATCAATCTTCTCCTTTTGAATTGGTTTATCCAAATATGTAATAAAATTTGAAGCATTCCATTTGAAAAATCATAAATTTGATATGTAGGTATAAATTGGGACACCCTGTATAATTGCCAATATTTTAGAAATGTGCTCTAAAATGTCATGTATAACATGCCATACATAGATTTTGCCAAAATGTATTTGTTTATGAGTAATATTCCGTCCACACAGGGATGGGCCACCCTCTATATATATAGGTGAAAAATAAAGCTTCCGCCTTTAGTTGGGTCCTTCAACAAAATTCAAGCAATGAGGACTCTATACTTTATTAGCATCTAGCTTTCAATGGACTTTGCCATCTTCACCAGGAGCTGCAATAACATTGAAAAGAAATAGCAAATATTGTGCAAAATTATTTTAAATTACTTACATTAGTATGTGAGATTGTGGCTAAATGTTATTAAAGGTTAGGTTGAGGGAAAAATTTAGTAGCCTGGTAAAACCTGGATACATGGTACATTCGTTAAAATTAATATAAAATACACACAGCTGTATGTCAGAAATACATTAAAACGTATTAAAAAATATTTAGAACGAAAGTTAAAATTACATCGTGAACCACCTGATGCTGCACAAAATGGTGTGCCACAGGATCATAAGTAGGATGAAACATATGACAGATGTCAGAAGGTTGGTGGTATTAGCGTCGATGGATGGAACGAAATTTTTTTTAAAATGTGTGCTATGTTGCTAACTAACTTCAGATGGTGTGATTTATCAAGATATGTTAAATAAGAACTTGTCAACAGACCAGAGGCAGTTGAACAAACTATATTGTTGATGAGATGGACAATTGAATTAAACAATTATTATTTTATTATGAGAAAAATAATTATTCAAAATTTGAATGGAATGGAATTTTGGAGGGAAAGGGTGGAATAGACCAAAAAAACACATTCCATTTATGATTGTGAAAAGTCAACATTTGGAGAGATGTGTAAGTCCTCCAACTTTTCGCAGTTAAGCAAATATGAGTAAATGCTTAACGTCTGTCTTCTTATTCACACAGTTGTCATTCATGAAAATGTGGGAAATTTCCAGGAATAAACGTTTGGATAGGTGTTTTTCTTTATCAAGAACTTTGACACTTGTGTAGTTCATAGAGTGCCCTGTTGTATTGACATGAGATGCCAGAGCACATCTCTCGGGATGAAGCCTAGAATCACTTTTGTGTGATGATGAAATCCTTCCTTTTAGAGATCTGGAAGTCTGACCTATGTATATTTGGTTGCAATTATTGCAATTGTTAGAGTAAATTGCATTGATGAGCCAAGCAACGGGACTCTGTCTTTCATCTTTGAAAAAATACAGTTTATAGTGAGGACGGATTTGCAAGCAATTCTACAGTTAGGGTAGGACAGCAAAACCAGATCTGCAATTTGGGATGGCGGTTATATTATTATTGGAATTGATGTTGTTGTTGGGAGTTATATCAGTTCTGTTATTAGGAGTTGTGAGAATAATATTTGGATTGTTAGTATTTGCCAAAATACTGGAAGGAGAGCTGAACAAGATCCTGTTAATCAAACACTTCGGTTAACCATTGTTGATGAACAGTTTTGATAGCTTCCGTAAATCTGAAGTATGGAAAGTATTATCAGAGATGCTAATTACCCTTGTTTTCATCTGCTTCACCAAGTTTATTTTAATCGGCTTCATCTCGATAGATGTGCTCTGGCACCTCATGTCAATACATGAACTACACAAGTATCAAAGTTCTTGATAAAGAAAAGCACCCAAGCAAACGTTTATTCCTGGAAATGTCCCACATTTTCATAAATGACAACTGTATGAATAAGAAGACAGACGTTAAGCAACTGAGCGTCATTTACTCATATTTGCTAAACTGCGAAAAGTTGGAACACTTACACATCTCCAAATTTTGACTTTTCACAATCATAAATGGAATGTGTTTTTTTGTCTATTCCACCCTTTCCCTCCAAAATTCCATTTCATTCAAATTTTGAATAATTGTTTTTTCTTATAATAAAATAATAATTGTTCAATTCAATTGTCCATCTATCAACAATATAGTTATATATATATATATAGTTATATATCTATATATCTATATCTATATATATATATATATATATATATAGATATATACACGAGCAGTAGTCATTGCCATTGCCAACGACCAGTTGGGCAAGAAATACAATTGATTATTAATTGCAAAATTGGCAAAATTTTTATTCTTTAGTAAACTCTTTTAACGGTAATCTCGAGCTTTCGGTCCTCTATGGAACCATCAACAGGAGCTGAAACACAAATATGAAACTAGCAACCAATACGGAAAGGATTTAAATTTCCAGACAACTTACTCGTAGCTGAGGTCGCAGCCAAATGGTGTTTCAAACGAAAGCGTGGATGAGAGCACTTGTTGCAATTATAAAACCAAAAGGGCGGACACAATGGGTTTTTTGATAACGACGGAAAACCATAGTTAGATGTTGAAAGTATATATCAATACACCCGAACACATTAAAAATTATCGAACTGCAATTTTTGGGGGAAAAAACGTCGCTTCTAACCTCCTACATCTGTTTCACGTGGAGAAAATAAGCGAAACCGAAAGAGTGATGCGTCGACAGATGACTGAAGAAATGTGGACATGTAAAAATCATTGGGAAATTTCAGGTCTAGTGTATACGAGGGACACTCGGAAAAAACTCATCAAATTTCCCAAAATTGTTGGATTAAATTTGTTTGGAAAAGTGTACTTCATATGTATGTAAGATGGTGATACCCGCTTGAAAAGATGGGTTGTATGAAGATATATTAATATTTATTAACAGGACAAATAATTGGAATTATGTTTCAATTTTGGGAGGATGTTAGATTAACTGGAATATGTAGTCGTTCTAACTTTTCGTAATTCAACAAGTAAGAATAAATGACACTGAGCTGCTTAACAGCAGCCTTTTTATTCATACAATGATTTGTCGTGAAAATGTGGGACATTTATAAAAATAGCCGTTTTGAGAGATGTTGCTCCTTGTCAAGAAACCTAATACTGCCACAACTCATGGAATGACCTGTGGTGTTAACATGTGATGCCAAAGCACATCTCTCTGGATGTACTCTGGCGGGACTTTTGTTGGAAGTTATCCTGCCTTTCAGTGATCTCGATGTTTGGCCTATGTAAACTAAATTACAGTTGTTATTAATGCGATAGACAGTGTTAGTTGAATCAAGCAACTGGACCTTATCCTTCATTTTGGACAAGAAACTGTTGACTGTGAGCACTGATTTACAAGCAAAACGACAATTAAAGGAATTATATAGCCTGATCAATTTTGGAGTTAATTCTTTGATGTATGGCAAGACAACATAACTCTGGTATTAGAAGCATGATCCGTAGTGTTGTCATTCTCATTAGTTGAAGAATTAATGGGCGTCGGGTTGGACAGGACAGTATTGTCATTAACCATATTGTTATTTGCAATTGGCAAAATACTAGGAGAGCTGAACAGGATTCTGTTAACCAAATACTTCGGATAACCCTTATTAATGAATAAAACTGAAAGCGTCCTTAAATTGGAAAGATGGAAAGTATTGTCAGAGATTTTTATTACCCTGTTCTTCATTTGTTTCACCAGATTTATCTTTATTTTAAGTTCATGGTAAGACCTGAAGTTCAGGAACCTTCCAGAGGAAATTGGTTTCCTGCATCAGTCTACCAGTAATATATTATCGTCGGGACGAATCAATCTTGGGTCCAAAAAGGGAACTGATTGATTATCATCTTCTTTTTCGATGGTGAATTGAATGTAGGGATCATAGCTGTTAAAAACTTCAACAATGTCATCCACCCCTTCATCGTCCACATATTTTTTTATAAAGATTAGATTATATGGCAATACCTGAATAACAATATCAAGCACGTCAATATTGGAAGTAACACTGAGCCCTGGGGCAACCGTGTGTTTATGAGAAAAATTTGTTATTAAAAGTGAAATAATTGTTCTGGAAATGGTACTCTAAGATATTAATGAATAAACCCAGAGTTAGATTGCTGTGATGGCAAATTTGATCCCAATGTGTCTATGGATCTGATGCAAGCTTCCAAATTAACATTACTGAAAAGTGAGACTACATCTAGACTAGCAATAACATGATCAGGAGGTATTTGAAACCTATTAAATTGTTGACAAACATCAAACGAGTCTTTTATATAGTATTCTCCTTTGATGTGAGCTGACTTTGAAGTATCTGCAATTAATGAGGATAAAGCATGTGTGGCTGATTCAACAGATGTCACTATAGGTCTTACCGACAGAACCGGTTTATGTATTTTGGGAAGAGCATAAGATTTAGGAGAGACAGAATTATACGTGATTAAGGACTCTTTGGTCCTGGTTGATTTGACCAGTATTGAGTAGCCTGTTAACAATGTCATTGCATCCTTTCTCTTCTTTAGATGCAGGGTTTTTAGTGATAACTTTATATGAGGGTTCATTCTCCATCAAGTTATTACAGAGGTCAAAATATTGTTGTCTTGACATAATTACAGTAACATTGCCTTTAACTGACTGACAATTAATTCGGGATGATCATTTATAAATTTCCTTGTTTTATTTAACAAGTTTTGATAGAAAGAGTGTTTTTTTGTTGATGCTACTGTTGTGATAGTAGTTTGTGATAATGTTGGTGGAACGAGTTATGACAATGTTTTTTTCTGTGTCATCATTAATCTAAGAAGATATCGAATCCACATCAGCCAGAATATGTCTGATTGCAATGTCCTTGTTAACAAACAGTTCAATGCTGAATTTTGGCCCCAGAAAGAAATCTTGAGATATCTGGAATGTTGACATTACTAAGGTTCTTCACAGATTTGGGATTCTTTCAACACATCGAAGAATGATATGGGACACTCTCAGTTACTTTGCTGAATGACTGGATCAAGCACAGAAAACGCTTGGCGCATGAGATTAACAGACGAATTTTCTTAATAATGTGCAGGAAGAACAGCATCCTACCACCACATACCAACCATCGCGTAACATCCATCAACCAAATCATACACAATCACCTTGTAGAATATGGGCTACAATCTCCTTTACAAAGGTTGGGTGAGAAAATACTATCTCTTGAAATTTCTTCTTGTCATAAACAATTAAAAAAACTTCACTCACCCCTCAAATCATTGAAAACTGAAATCATTTCTCTCACCTCCCCCTTAATTTTCAATAATTTTCAATCAATGCAATTAAGACATTATAATACTTTGTTCCATTCTATCAAAAATTCTAATATTTTTAAGTTCTACAGGTTAATAAATGACACAATGAGAACTTTGCTCAACACTCAGCCAAATTAGTAATGTCAACATTCCAGATGACACCTCAAGATTTCATTCTTTGGGGCCAAAATTCAGCATTGAACCATTTGTTAACAAGGACATTGCAATCAGACATATTCTAGCTGATGTGGATTAGATATCTTCTTCCATTAATGATGACACAGAAAAGAACATTGTCATAACTCGTTCCACCAACATTATCACAAACTACTATCACAACAGTAGCATCAACAAAAAAACACTCTTTCTATCAAAACTTGTTAAATAAAACAAGGAAATTTATAAATGATCATCCCGAATTAATTGTCACAGTCAGTTAAATTCAATGTTACTGTAATTATGTTAAGACAACAATATTTTGACCTCTGTAATAACTTGATTGAGAATGATCCCTCATATAAAGTTATCAATGAAGACCCTACATCTAAAGTAGAGAAAGATGCAATGACATTGTTAACAGGCTACTCAACACTGGTCAAATCAACTAGGACCAAAAAAAGTCCTTAATCACTTACAATTCTGTCTCTCCTATATTTTATGCTCTTCCCAAAAAATACATAAACCGGTCCTGTCGGTAAGACCTATAGTGGCATCTGTTGAATCAGCCACACAAGCCTTATCCTCATTAATTGCAGATACTTTAAAGTCAGCTCACATCAAAGGAGAATACTATATAAAAGACTCGTTTGAAGTTTGTCATCAATTTAGTAGCATCAAGCAGCAAGCGCAACTGTTGTTGAAGAAAATTGAGGTAGGTCTGTCCATCAAGTCGTCCCTGCAAGAAAAATGGACCAATAAAGTGGTTGTCAATAATTGGTGTTGGAAATGGGTTTCGGTTACGGCATAGGGATTTTCTGCTGCCCACAAATGATTATTGAGAAAATTCTGAATGGCATTTCGAGAAAAATTAGCTTCGTACGTGAACAGAATCATTGTTTCAAATTGCGGATTTTGTCTAATTTTTTGAAGATACCACTGACAAAAGGTCACGCCTTGGAAAATCAATGGGAAGTAATGCCTGTACTCTTAAAATATGGTAAGGATATAACAAAAAATCCGCTAAAATTCTCCAAACAATTTGATAGCAAATATTTAAGTGTCTATCGATCTTCCTCGTACTCGTTTCAGTATGATCTTCGACTTCGTGCAGCACTGCTTCCTCAATTTCAGGTGTTCTCACACTTAGAGGTCTACCTTCAGATGCTCCTTTTCGGACAGAACCAGTTTCAACAAGACAGCGATAAATATTAGAAAAGGTTCGACTATCTGGCTAAGCACGATCGGAATATCTCTGGTGATAAATCCGTCTGGCTTGCTCACCATTACCGCCGAGAAGGCCATATACGAGTACGTAATGCATTTCATCCATTTCCGCATTTCAATAATTCACCATTATTAACAAGATTGTAAAAACCAAATAATGAAAAAGATGTCACAGCGAACAGATTTGAATAACAGAGACTTGTCAGATGTCAAAAGCCAGTGACATATTCCAGAGCAACTAGATATTTATACAGAACGGTTTTTATGTTTTTACTCAAAAATAATTTTTATTTAGCACACAACCATTGGCGTACCATTTTTTTCTTAAAAAATATCGAAGTCAATACCCGTACGCACGCCACTGTTAAAGCTAAAAATTATTTTTGCATTGAGAAATATGTAACTTTATTAACTTTCACTACGTACTAAATATCAGTGAAATATCTGAAGCGGTTCTGAAAATATTAATTAATTTCCATTTTTTTTTTCCTAAAACCTCAACACCCCCAGTTTCTGTAAGGAAACAGTTTTACACAATAGTTTATAAAGCAAACTAACATTAATTTTTCATGTAGATTCACACCCTTAAATATTCGCATATATGCAGGGTGGCCCATCCATGCGTGGACGGAATATTACTCATAAACAAATACATTTTGAGAAAATCTATTTATGGCATGTTATATATGATACTTAATGGCAACTTTCTAAATTATTGGTAATTATACAGGGTGTCCCCATATAAAAGTTGTGATTTCTTAAATAGAATGCCTCAAATTTTATTGCATATTTGGATAAACCAATTCAAAAGAAGAAGATTGATATAGCATACTAAGGGGTTTTGGTAATTAGCTACTGAGATGTGAGGTGTTTTGTCCGGAAAAACCGTCCACTTCGGCAACCCCTCAATCCGCCATTTTGAAATTTGGAGTGCTGAATTTTGTATCAAAAAAAAAACTTCATGCCTCAGCTTTTATCTTATTTGTTACTTTTTCGAATTTTCGTTTTTGCTCATACAGGATGGTCAAAAATGCGAATTGTACTTCTTCTCAAAAACTTCAAATGTATCACCCTGTATATTTGTGCAAGTTTGGATTCAATTTTTTTTAAGCTTTTTTTTGGTATAAGGTTTGATTCACATAAAATCACTAGATTTTGAGTTATTAAGCTTTTAATAGAACAACACACCAAAATCAAGGAAATAAATCACATCATCCATGGAAACAAAAGACAAACCGTGGGCTAGTTTCATATTGCCGCTAAGAGTACAGATTTGACGTAAAAACTAACAACAATCAGAACAGTATAAATCAGCTTCAAGCGTAATAGAGAAAACAACTATAACAACAACATAAACAAACACTACTCAAGACCTAATCTACAAAAACTGCTCGAAAATATCTCCACCATGTTGAATACACAGCCGTAGTCTTTGGATAAATGGTCGTTGCACATCTCTCAGCATTGTTCCCTTATGTTCAGAAAAGCATCCTTAATCCTTTCCTTCATATTTTCAGAGGAAGATGGTGGATATCTATAAACCTCTTGCTTAACGTAGCCCCATAGAAATAAGTCCATCGGTGTCATATCTGGAGATCTAGGCGGTCAAGATATAGGCCCATCACGACCGATCCAACGATTGTTACTCCAGATGTCCAAATAGTTACGCACACGACTATGATAATACGCAGGTGCGTCGTCATGTTGGAGGTACATAAGCATACGAGTTTGGAGGTTGACATCCTCCAAAGGCAAAGGCAAATGCTTGATCAAAAAATTCAAGTATCCTGTACCTGTTAATCTGTTGTCGAAAAAGAAAGGCCCGATAACTTGTCTGCCAATAACTCGTCCCCAAACATTCAACCTCCATTTATTTTGGAAATCTATTTGCCTAACCCAGTAAGGGTTTTCCGTCGCATAATAGTGCTTGTTATGCTTGTTGACAATACCTATGCTGTTAAAAGTTGCCTCATCGCTAAAAAGAACCTTATCCAGGAAAGTAGTGTCTTCACTCACTTTATTTAGCATTTTTCTACTCCATTCGAGCTGCGAAATCCTGAGGACGAAGGCCTTGATGCAAGCATAGGTGATATGGATTGTAGTTATGCTTGTGAATAATCCTTTGGACAGAAGTTCTGCATATATCAGTTTCTGCTCCAATTTGCCGTGCACTTAAATGGGGATTTTCCTGCAACTTTAATAGAACCTCCAACTGATTCGCCTCATTGGTGACACTTGGATTATTTATACATTTTTTACTATATTCCGGCCTTAATGTCGCATATTAGGGTACCGTTGCTTATAAATGCGAGATGCTAGGAAACTATTTCTGTGGGCTTCGCCCAAAACGAACACCATATTCACCAATTGTTCTTTAAAAAAGTTCATTTTAAAACATGTTTTTATTATAAAGTTCACAAAGCTAATTTATAGAGTTTGTAACCAATCAACAATTTATTTGTTTCCAAGGATGATGCGATATTTTAGGGAATTAAGCCGTTCCATAAAAGACGTGCTAATAACCGAAAAAATAGCCGTAAAAACCCTTGTGCCTAGGACCAAAAAAAAGCTTATAAAAAATTGAATCCAGACTTGCATGAATATACAGGGTGATGCATTTGAAATTTTTGAGAAAAACTACACTTTGCGGTTTTGACCACCCTGTATGAGCAAAAATTAAAATTCGAAGAAGTAACAAATAAGACAAAAGCTGAGGTGTGTAACCCCATTGTATGTCATATCAGTTTTCTTCTTTGGAATTGGTTTATCCAAATATGCAATAAAATTTGAGGTATTCCATTTGAAAAAACAATGTTGGTGATAGAAGTAGAAAGAAAAAACTTTGAATTACAGATAAGAATAAGTGGCAATGACAACATGCAATTTATTTTAAAATCCCAACTCAAATAAAATCAGGAGAAAATAAAAATGATTTTGGAAGAAATCTGGTAATTGAAACAAATGAATGATGATTTCAAGGCCTACCTAGGAAATTCTGTTTTTTTAATATAATATAAATAACTAATGTTATGTGGCAATGTCAGTGTATGACGTATTATACATTTTGAAATCAGAACTAACAACTCGTCAGCTCAAAGGCCTCAGTTACCTGTGTATCTCTCCAGGAACATTTTCATCCATCAATGTAAGTATAGCTCCATATAACCACCTAAAGAATGCTTTATAGTTGATCACCGAATTGTTTATTATTTGCTGAATCTCACCCGCCTTGATCAAAAACGCTCCACAAGATTGAATTGCTTGAGCTATCTTTTCATCGGATAGTCCAACAATCTAAAATACATTTTTTACTTAGATACATAATACATAAATAATATGTTAGAGTACTTTTCAAAATAAGAGGTTTTGAGCATAGCCGAACGTTGCAACTGATGAAACCAGTGTTCGTGTAAGCCTAGTGCGAGAATCGAAAATAAAATTTATCTAGCTGAAAAAATCCTCTAAAATAACTTATTTCAATTTCAACCCTTCTATTTAAAATGTGTAATAACACTGTAACAATCAATTATGATTCATATTTGATTTTTACTCACCTCATATTTACAATCAAACCTACCCATACCACGTAACTCTGCCAACTGGAAGGTCACATTTTGACCATACTTGTTTATATTCTTCAGTAAGAGCTTCTGTATATTGGTATAGCTCATCTCGATAGTTTGTCCAAATTTCTCTAGACCTTTCTTTGTTAGATCATGCATAAGAAATTCTTGCAGCTCTGATGCGCATATGCCAAAAATTAGTAAGTCAAGGAAATCTGCTGTTATACCGCCTTCAGGTACTTTTTTTGCGTATTTGGATAACTTGTGATCTATTTCAAGAAGAAAACTTTCCCAGGTCTCTGTTATGCTGGCAATTGTATTCCTCAGATAGGTAATCAAATCCATCTAAATGAAAATATATATTTTACGAGTCATGATTCAATAGTACAGGGTACAAAAAAGGCAATATTTCTACGACAAAAAATAGATCCAAAAATAACACGAAAAGTTTATATAAATATAGGACTTAAAATACCCCTTTACCGATATACAGAATGTTGGAATAGTAATTTCAAAATCGTGATAATACTGTACCTCCGGTGTGCATGAAGGGTCCGATTTAAAATTTTGTACATATATTAACAGAAAAATTCTGAAGATATTTTCAAAAGAATTGCTCAGGTGGTGAATCCTGCCAACTTGGAAGTCTGCATAAGTAATACAAAGAAAATAAAGAATGGATTTTCCGTCATCTGCAACAAAAAATCTAACCTGGACAAATTCAAAGAAAATCGCACTTAGAAGACGAAAACGTTGTCGATGAGGCAAAAAAACGTAAACTACGCATTCGTGTGAAGAATGTTGAATTAACAGACAATCTAAACAGTGACGATCATATAATAGCTAGCATGTTATCCTTAAATAACTTGGATAACTTCAATTCTCCAGATATAAAAGGGATTACTAAGGGCTCCCGCAAACAGACATGTGTTCAGCGTTCAAGCCGCGTTCGACCGGTCAATTCATTTTACGAGTTCTAACACAGGAGGCAGTCACGAACACTGCGTTCCATTTTACGAAGATTACTTGTACGTGAAACGTGTATTTCGATAGTTCATCTCCAGAAGACGAAGTATTGCTTTTGTTTAGTTTGGAAGAGTCTAATAAGAAAAAAGATACTGGGTGCCTCCAATTAATTGTGAGATAAATGAAAAAGGAGAGTTGGGTGTTCTTTTTTCTGCATTGCTTGAAGATAAAGAACGGTTTTTGATTTACTTCCGAATGTGATTAAGTCGTTTTAGTGAATTGCATGTTATATAAAGAAGGAAATAAGGAAACAAAATACCAACTGGAGAAAGGCTATATCTACAAAAAAAAGATTGGCAGTATTTTCGATTTTCCGTGGCTATTTCAAGCCATGCTTCATTTTTTTTAAAACTATTTTTATAGTCTGTGTTACTAAGAACATCGATTAGTCTTGCGAACGATGCGTTCCACAAGTTCTTTGTATTTCTGAAAATAGAACGCAAGAACGCGAGCGTTCACACTGACTGGCGCGGTCTTACTGACGCTGTGTCTTCGCGACTCTATAGAGATCTATCGATCAAAGAACGTGGAACGCAGAACGCAGAACTCAGAACGCTTTGTCTGCGCGAGCTCTGAACTGGAAATTCGGAATGACTGTAACCTCATCTTGGAGGTTTCTCCTGGGGTACGGAAAATCGTAATGGTGCAAGAATACGTCTTCATTGGTTTGGGAAAGATGTGCAGTTACCGATCACCTTCAAATTGTGCAGTGCTATAAGCAGCGCAGATCTGCGTCTGCAAAGTGCCCTTCTTGTTCTGAAAGTCATTGTTTAAAAGAATGTAACTCCACGAATAAAGCCTCTAGTAGATGTATCAATTGCACTAAGTGGAATAAGGACAACATTGGAGTGGATCATTCAGCAAGGGATGTATCAAAGATACATTTATAAGTTAAAAAGTAGGATAGATTGTGGTTAGTTATGGTTAGTCAATAAAATTTGGTCATGTTCAATATCCGTGCGCTTGTACCTTCATTCACTGACTTGTCGGTACTTATCCTCACTGAAACCTGGCTTATCTATAGATGGTTATACATTTCATAGAAAGCATAGGGGTAGTAGAGGTGTAGGCATAGGTGAGTGTCTATAAAGAATAATATAAAATGTGAACGTATTACTATAACTGATTATGTTGGAGAAGATTTATCAGTCATTGAGAAATTGTGATTGAGGCTTGGCTTGGATTCAAATCGCCCTCAGTCGCCTTAGGTTTGTTGTACAGACCCCGTAAGGTCAATCTAAATTATGCAGTTGAAGCCCGGGATGCTCTTTTGTCGCATTTATCAACTATTTATGACCATATTATCGTATTGGGTGTTGTTAATGTGAATCTGCTGAATATGGATAATAACATATTGTTTTGACTCATACTCTTTTAATCAAATAATTGGCGAGCCAACTAGAATCAATTCTTCCACTATGACTTTGCTTGATCCAATTTTTGTAAATTTTCCTGGACAGGGTGGTCGTTGGCAATGGCAATGACTACTGCTCGTATATATATATATATATATATGTTAAACACATGTATTTACATTGGCTGACCAACGTAAAAGTGATAGGGTAAAGTGGTAGAGTCGCTATTTAGGTAAACCTCGCCCGCTACATTGTACTCTAATTAAGAAAGACGTTTTATTATTATTATTTCATGCTGGTGAGAAATCAGTCGTATTTTCTTAGATCTCAGTTAAGCTTTTGATCTTGTTGACCATACAATACTCTTAGAGAAACTAGAAATGTATGGCATTTGAGGGCTGTCCGTGCAATGGTTTAAATGCTATCTGAACACGCATTGTATTAGAGAATCAGGCTTGACAAAGACTAAAATGTTCAGTAGGTGTCCCACAGGGACACATCTGTATATAGTGTTTGTGAAAGACTTTTCCAGCCAAAATTGTATCATGTATGCAGATAACATCTCGTTACTTATCACTAACTTCTAACACCATAATTTCATTGGTTGAAGCTCTTATACTGAGTTCGACAATGCAAGTTCTTGGTTTGAAAAAACAATTTGCTTGCAAATGAATCAAAAACTGTTTTTACTCGAGTTCATCTCTCGAGCAACGGATCATAGACGACAAATTAAAACTGGATATACATCCCTGAAGCAGGTACAGTCAACTAAATTTTTGGTAATTCATATATCTGAAAACTGTAAGTAGAAAATATAGGTGGATGAAGTATGCACGAAAATAGCCCCCATGTGTTACTTACTACAGTTACGCAGCACTGTAGATAAATATTAATGTCTTATCATGCCCAAATAATCTTTCTCATCTCGTTTGTATATTAGCTTGGGGTTTTTTGCTCTAAGGAATGCCAGATAATGTTTGTTCTACAAAAAAGAGCGGTCAGATGCATAGCTGGTGTACACAGAACTAACTGCAGACAATTATTTAAAGGCATTGGTATTTTAACATTAATATCGGTGTACATTTTCCAGCTGTTGTCATATGTTAAAATCAACATAACTTTTTTTAAAAACAAAAAAATAGAATGAAAATAACTACAAAACTAAGAATCAGTTACTTAGAGCAGCCCCACATACCCCCACTACCACAAAATAAAAGAGCTCACTTCAGAAACAGCGGCAGAATATGTTGAGCTGTATTCATGGTATTATTTTGTATATCAGCTAGCTTGTTGAGGAGGCTCAGGGAACCAAAAAATAAGATTTTAAGTTTGGCCGAGAGCACAGAACTCACTGGCGCTCCCAGGATTTCAGTCTGGGAGGGGTAAAATGGAACATCAACAAAATTGGATCCTTTAGGTTTCGCACCCGGTTGGTCAACACTTGGTTCAGCATACGGTGCAACATCAAGAATTTTGAAGTGGAAGGCTCAGGTTAAATTGTAGGATTATCATCAGTTTTTTCCGGTAAATCTTGTGCCGGTGGATCAGACAGTTTGCGTATCTCATAAAAAAGAACCTTTTCTGTTTGGAAAACAAGATTTCTCAAGTTCACGCAATTTTCAAAAACTAAATATATAATTTGCCATCTCGGACGAATGAAATGCACTGAAGAGCTTATATACAGGGACTTCCGAGACAAAATACTCGTAGACATAGATGATAATGATAGCTGGAGTATGGACCAAACACTTCGTAATTGAAACTATATTAGATTTCCATTTTTCCGTCTGTCGTTGTTTTAGAGCCGTTTCACACACAAGAGAAATACTCCGAAAATTATGGTCATAATTATGCCGAAAATTTACTTGGAAAAAATATTGAAGATTTTCTCTACAACCTGTATGACACAAGCAAACAAAATTTCGGAGTAATTTATATGATACGCCTGCGCATTAGAGTAATATTTTCGAATGGACATAACGTTAACGGGTATGACGTCCAATATAATCGGAAAGACAACAGACGTCGTTGATTTAAATTTATTTTTGAAATCGAGATCTTGGTTAATATTATAAAACTTCTCAATGCTTGGACTATCGCATCCAGCGCCTGACGCCGCAAATTTCTGTTTTTGTAATTGGGTGACTTCACCTTGTACAGGTTTGGCCATTTTTGGCACTCCTCCAACAGTTTAACTTCTTCCCGATTCCACGACATTATGAATAGACAATAACAATAAACGCTTCTTCGTACGACTCGAACAGGACCACAGCCACTAACGTTAAGTGAGGTTATGTTGTTGA